TTGCTGAATTATATTCGCTCACTTTTTTAAAATCTTGGAAACGTAATGACATCCATTCATGGCGAGCCCGAGGGAGAATAACTCTTTTTTGATGATCATACCTTTCTTTCAAGGCTTTCCAATGATCCGCTGGATCTTTCACAGTTAAATATTTATTTTTTAACGCCTCGTTCATATGATGCTTAGAAAAATTACGGCTCTCGCCTTTTCTTGTATGGATGAATCATTTGGGGAAATTATTGTTTTTCCCAATCCCATTGCATCCAAATGAATTTCAGTATCTAATGTCCATGAAATGCAAATTTTTCCAGTGATGTCAAGTGCCTAATACTCGAGCTTCACCAAGTTTGACATGGTAACTATAAAATACAACATTAATGCTTAGATTTAAGAAAATTACAAATAGATCATTCATTATTCAAACCGATAAAAACAACTAATAAGAAGCACATTAGAAAAGACCTAATACATAAAATATAAATTCAGCAGTATGATACAACATCGTGAATATTCCTAAAGCGTATATAATAACCAATATAATGGTAATTATAAACAATAGATCAAATATTTTTGTTTTTTTTTTTTCTTTTGAGGAGAATATATTGTAATTTTAGAATGAGTGTTAATACATGAAGTGAAGTGTATATATAGATTGATAAATAGCCGTTGCAAAAGAGCCGTTAAGTAGCCGTTGGGATCATATTATTGATATAATATTTGTTATTTATATCATTCATGAAAATTTAATTAATCATGCATATCAACTTAAAATTTTTTCGGGTTACTAGGGAAACATTTTAGTGAATACAAGTAACAAATAAAAATGTCACTCCACACTACTCGATAATTCTTTCGGTGGGTAAAGAATAAGAAATTATAAATTTCACGCCGCATTACTGGGTAAACCATTTTGTGGGTGTGAAGTACAAGTAATAATATTATGTATTTTTATTATAACCTGAAGTCATTTTTCTTAATCATTAGTAATTCATAAGTAAATTTAATAATATCATCTTACCACATATTATTGACTATGGCAGAGCCTTACTTGCCAATAATAATAATAAGTATATTCATACCACATATTCTTGACTATGGCAGAGCCGTACTTGTAAAAAATAATGGTAATATGTAGATTAGTAAAATATTATATTAATTTTATGTAATATATATACATACATATATAATTAGTATATTTCTACCTTTCTGACCGGGTAGAGCGCTCATGCTGATAACGTGTTATAAAAACGGAAAGATAAAGAATACAATATAGAAACTGAATATAAATTAAACTCAGTATCTTTCTTTCTTTCTTCTGATTGCGCACTCTTTCACTACATTTGCATTGCCTTTTATAGACAAATTCTACCGACACTTTCCACACCAATTATTCATACCCCATACACCATCTACTATTCCCATTTCTCTAAATAGTGAAATGTCAGTATTTATGCATAGTTGTTCATTCCACTTGTTTATAACAGAGTTCGAATAAAAAGAAAATTATATTGTGGAACAATTTGTAGTATTCGAATAAAAAGACAAAATATATTGTGGAACAATTTGTAAGGGTGTGACTCAATAAGGATTTTATTTGATTTTGAGTTTTTTTTGTTAATCATAGTTAATTTAAAAATTAGTTTTTAGTGAAATTCTGAATTTATATTAAAATAATATTTAAATAAAATAATTAAAATTAATTTGATATACAAGGAGAATAGAGATGATGTGAAATGATGGTTAGCTAAAATTATGTGAGTGAATTAAAGTATTGATTTATATTAGTTAATTATAGTGATAATATCGAATATAGTGAAATTGAGTTAAAGTTTGATTAAAAAAATAATTTATTTAAAAATGATTGATTTTGTCCAATCAAATTCATATCCAATCACACCCTAAAGAACTAAATTATACTTCACCTCACCATCTTTTCAAAAATTGAATTTTAACATAATTTTATTATTTCAGTAAAATGATGTGATTACACGGGTGTTAACTAATAAATTTTATAGTGAAATACTTCAAAAATACATAATAAATTTTACTTTATTTGAATTTTAAATAATTTATTAAAACAATACATTATTATGTATATTTAAAATGAGACTTTTTCATGTATGACTTTTCGTTTTATATTATACTAATGTCTAGTGCATATATGATAAATTCATAGATAACTTTTTTAATTGATATATAATTTTGTAAATTTTAATTAGCTTAATAGATGATTTAATATTATGTAGAGAAAAAATGTATTTATTTATTTATTTTATATACGCAGTATGAAAATCATCTCGAAGCTCATCAAAAGATACATAATTTGTTATATTATAAATGATAAATTGATAACAAATACAAAAGTTATAACTTTTAAATATAGAATGCAAATCTATATTGAATACTTCGAAGCACCAGAACTTAAACATATGATTACGAAGCGAAGTTGACACATAGAATTACGAAATAGCATAAGTCGACATGTAGGATCAGAACATTCGATATTTATATATACTAGTACGACACCTGTGTACTACACAGGTAGTTTGAAAAAAAAAATACAAAACATAAAATAACAGAAAAAACACATGTTGTCGTATAAAAGTGCAAAAATAGAAAATACCAAAGTCGATATTATTTCAAATTTTGAAAAATTTCTTTTTACACTACATTTATAGTTTTATTTACAATTTTTTCATCCTTATCGCAACACAGAATTTTCAAGCCTCTCCTACTTTTAACTCTAGATAATGCAACATAAAGTTGACCATGGCTAGATACAGGATTAATCCTTTAATCTAATAATTAATTTATAATTATGTAAGTTGCATATATTATATATATAATACAAAATTTAAAAGTAAGTCCTATAAAATATACTCACCGGAAACAATATTTCAATGCCTGCAGGAGATAGTCCACGCTTTTCTTTCATTTTCGCCATTCTAATGTGTCTAATAAGTTTTGCGTTTTCTTTATCGATTATTTGAATACCTATAAGATGCAAGAACAAGGTGGATTTAAAGTCAATAAATATAATAATTTATTATAAATGTTTACAGTTTGTTATCGACAAGATTGTATATGATCCCACTTTTAAAAAGAGGTCGTACGGTTTAACCCTCGAAACCACTTTTTTCAATACATATTTAACATAACAGCTCGAGCCCTTTATTAATAATAACCAAAAAAAATGTTTCTAATTTATTATCTTTTGTTTATAAATATATTAATTGATAAATAATTTTATTTTTCAAATTAATATTAAAAGAAATTATTATTGTTATAAAGATAAATATAATTTATTTTTTTCTACATACATAATGTATGTTACATCGAAGCTAATCAAGAGATGATTAATTTGATATATTATATATGTAAAACAAATAAAAAATGTAAAAGTTAATAACTTTGGCAAAGATTAAACAAAAATATATTATAATATTAAGCAAAAAAATCTTATTTACACGGCATACAAGGAGAAAAAAAACATTTGATTGGTATAGGATTCTTAACCCATGTAATCCGTGTAATTTTGTGGTTCAATATTGATAGTTCCACACCGATTTTGGCAAAGATTAAGCAAAAATATATTATAATATTAAGCAAAAAATCCTATTTACACGGCATGTAAGAATCCTATTTATTTGGAGTTGGAGGGAATCGGATTAAGCAAAAATTCTATTTATTAAGTATTTTATTTTAAACAATTAGGGAATGGAGGGGATTGGATTAAGCCAAAATATATTATAATATTGGTATAAGATTCTAAACTAAATTTTGTGGTTCAATATGGATAGTTTCACACATATTTTGGCAAAGATTAAGCAAAAATGTATTATAATATTAAGTAAAAAAATCCTACGGTATATAAGAATCCTATTTATTTTGGAGTTGAAGGGGATCGGATTAAACAAAAATAATTTTTATCCGAACCAAAAGCCGAAGCATGTAATGTTGTCAAGTAAGCTTCCGAAGCGTGCGAGCCAACCATTTAGGCTCAGCACGTTTTGAAATTATATTAAGCAAAAATATATTATAATATTAAGCAAAAATATCCTATTTACACGGCATATAAGAATCCTAACTATTTTGGAGTTGGAGGGGATCAGATTAAGCAAAAATTATTTTTTTTTGAACCAAAAGTCGAAGCATGTAATGTTGCCAAGTAAGCTTCCGAAGCGTGCAAGCCAGCCATTTATGCTCAGCACGTTTTGAAATTATATTAAAGGGGGTGGGTGATGTGGACTTTTATTCTTGACAAAACAAAACACGTTATTTGTTTGAGTTTGGCAAACAGAAAGTGGCATGACTAATCGTTCTTGTTTCATCAATGTGGCAGCCACGTGATATTAAGATAATAAAATGGAAAAACTGCACCACACACATGAACTTTTTTTAAAAAAATTGCAATTTTGTCACAACTTTTTTATATTTAGCATAACGTTATTTCTAATATAAAATGCATTTGATGTATATTAAATCGTGTATGTTAACGAAAAATGCAAACTGATATGGGATACCACACCAGGTAGAGCAAACCCGATAAACCAGTTGATCAGGCCGAGGGAACCGGCTGGTCGAGCAAAGCAGCAGGAATGTCGAGCGCCGATGAGTATGCTTCAGGTCGAAGAGGACGTGAGAGATTCAAAAGGACAATGACAAGTCGAGCTAGGGCCCTCAAATGGCCTATTAGAAACTTGACCTGACGTTACGGATGGTCATGTTATCGACCAAAAGAACAAAACTTAGGCTCAGTAAGCGAAGCATTCTACCTCAACAGGATTCGACTTGGTCGCACGATTAGGCAGTCTAATGGGAAAGAATAGTGGATAAGAAGACATATTATTAGGGTAAGATCTACACGTGGATAGGGCCACATGGATTAACAGAATTGGACAGTTCGGGCAGCCCACTCGGACAGTCTTGGGCAACAAGGTATCATATCCCTATATAAAGGGGTGAGGTATGCCCACTATCACATTTCATTATATATATTCTCTGCATACATATAACACTTCATATTCTTTACCGTGTTAACTTAAGCATCGGAGGTTTTTCACCAGAAAATCCTCCGGTGTAAGAGTTTTTGCAGGTCTCAAGGCGTTCAACTGGCGAGGAGCTTAAAGCTGGCCGAGTCCCAACCGGTCGAAAGTCTTTTGTATACCATTTAGCGTCGTCTATGAGACCTCCCGAGATCATATGAATGACCCCCCTCTTAGGCGGGGCCTCGCCCTCCTCAAGGCCACGATCTTATTTTTCTCGACCTCTTTTACCTCTACCTCTTCGACCACCTCAGTCCTCATGTTCCTCTTTGTCCTCGTCTTCATCCCTATCATCCTCATCCTCTCGACCTCTTTTCTTTCTTTTCTTTATCCTTATAAATAAACTTCTTAAGGTGACAAGCTCAAATCAACCTTCCTATCTCATCCTAATGGAAAATTTTGTAATTACCCAAAAAAGGAACTGTCTGAGAGAAAAAATAAAAACAAAGATACAAGCTATTCTTTCATGCTATATAGAAGTTACTCAATACATGAAGCCCTATCAATTAATCATATGCTACAAACAACTAAGACATTTCAACTATATATAATTAATTGTATTAACAAACACTGAATTTCACATATTTTCTCAATCTCCTCCCTAATGTGGCAAAGAGGACGATCTCGGTATTTCCTCGTGTAAAATCATCCGAGAAATTGGAGACGCGATGGAGGCCGAATGCCTGAGGAGGGGAGTCCCCATCCGACTCGACACCTCGTTAGTAGGGAACTGTGTGCTATCAAATCCAATGTCAGTGACTGGCTGCAGCTCGATTTGCGAATCCAAATGAGGCGCAAATCGAGGGCTCTCAATCGACCGGTTATCATCTTCCTCAACAGATATGACGGTGCTCGTATCAGTGTGGATGGTCGAGTCATCTGTAAAAATGCCTAATCTTCTCTTTCTTCGAGCAGCCTTTCCCCACCCATGGATTGTCTCCCTTATTCTTTTTGGAATGAGGGCTGCCTTATAATTTGTTCCCATCTAAAAAAAATTATGTATTATAAGAATCATGTATATAAGCTGCACTTGTATTAGTTGGTGCATACTCCATTGTTTGTATGTTTTTTTACCTGAGTGACCAGTGCATAGAGGGGCAAGGTGCTGTAGCTGCATAGAAACTGACCGGCAAACCTATGCAATAAAGTGAAAATAAAAGAAGGGCAGCAAGAAAAGGGAAAGTTAGACTAATAACAAGACGAGTAAGCAGCAAAGCACAAGGATATTGTACAAGAATAATTTTTTATTAAGACATACCCGACAATTAGACGTAGATAGACAAGTAAGTGGTTCCTTATGAAGCAGGAGTTGTAACCAAACTGCCACTGTCATTCATAGTAAGAGAATTCAAAATCGGGTGAAAACAAAAAATGGATATGTATGTATTAAAAATTTCAACATTAGACCTATTGTCTTTCAAACTGAGACTAAGGATGTGCTTGGTTGAAGAGAGGGGAAAGAAAGAAGGGAAAGATTTTAATGGGGATGGGGGAGAGAAGAGGAGATGTAAAATAAATTGAACAAATAAACTGAAATAATGGGCGAGAAAGTATCTATATCAACATTTTCGACGCGACTCCTATAGCCTGAATTTATGTTTCTAAAGAAACTGTAAATCTTGAATGAAATAAGAAAAGAAGGAAACAGGGAATACCCAGAACCAGAAGAATGAAGCAAGCTCAAATGCATTCTGCAAAAGTTCCCAGATAAGGAAAAATTAGTTTTGAGTATCAGATGCACAGCGTAAACCCGTAGACAGCAATTAAATGAAAAACAAAGCCCCAAAACAATTCACATTAGAATTTTTTTTTTAAATCAAACTGGCCAACCTGGAAAAGGATAAAATGAATGAGCGATAACAACAGCTCTGGCTTATTGAACCAAAACAATTCGTCTCGGGGCCTAAACTTGGGCCCAGAGAAGCTTCCACTTATTCCTGCACTCTCCAATGCCAAAGTTGCTATAACATGTTGCAGCTTTGCACCCACAAGTAGAACAAGCTGCAATGAAACACAAACCACATCATTTCAATGATTTTTTTTTCTCTTTCTCTTACTGTTTGGTAACAAAATCATGCAAAGTAGAAGGATTTCGATCTTGCTTCTGATTATCTGTGCGGGAAAATCTTGTATAAATGCGGCAACTAGATAAAAAAAGTGTGTTTACTTTTCAATTTCGAGCACTTACGATGACGGGAATAAGTGCAATCCAGAAGTAGAGATTAGATCCTGCAAATTACGTAGTTAAACATCCAAAAATCAGAGCAAGTTGAACACGTTAATCTACCATGTTACACTAGCTCACCCTTTAATGGACTCATATCCTTACAAAACTTTATACGAAAACTGACTGAAGGCTCAAACTCACTCACCTTTTATATTGAAAAGCATAAAAGCTACAACAAATCCCCAGAGTGGAGCACTGTAATTA